GACACTAAAGCCTGTGCTCTTAAACATCATTCTGTGGTGTTGTGTTTGGTATCACAGTTACCTGTAAAGTAACCTGGCCTTTGTTGTTTCTGTGTCTGTGTGTGTTTTGTTTGCTTTAATTAGAGACCCATCTATTTTGGATAGTTTAGATCTGAATGAAGATGAACGGGGAGTACTTATTAACAATATTAATAGGCGTTTGACACCACAAGCTGTCAAAATTCGAGCAGGTAAGTGATTTTTTTAAATAATGTTGAAAATATTTTGCATGAACCAAAAAGCTGTTAAATGATGAGCATTACCAAAGAATATGTTGCTACATCAGTATCTGCACGTTTTTCTATTTCTTATAACAAGAAAAGCTTAAGAAATTATTTTTGCTTCTACTGAACCATCATAAAATGTATATGTTGACACAAGTGAAAACTGTCATATATGCATTCAGCTAACCTTAAGTTAGTCCTTTTTTTTCCCTTTTTTCTTCTTTTTTTCTTTCTAAAGATTGTATTTATTTGAGAGGGAGAAGCAGACTCTCCACGGAGCAGAGAGCCTAACGCAGGGCTCGATCCCAGGACCCTGAGATCATGACCTGAGCCGAAGGCAGACTCTTAACTGACTGAGCCACCCAAGCGCTCCAGCCCTTTTTTTTTTTTTTAAGGGGGTGGTATTTTGTTTTAGTAAATACTTTAAAATATTTTAAAAGTAGAGTATTGTCCTTTTATGCCTCCCTGGATTAACCACTGTTAATATAGTTTGGAGTATATTCTTTCAAACATTTTTCTTACACACATATACTGTATAGGAATATATGCTGTTTACATTCAGACATAAATTGCTTTTATAAAGATTGGATCATACTATGCAAAATTTTCCTCAACTAGCTTTTTCCACTTGGTTTGTCATGGCAGCCCTTCCATTCAGAACATGGGACGTTTTCCTCAATCTCTTTAATGGCAAGGTACAATATTTCATAGAATAATAAACCAGTTGTCTCTTGGTGAACATTTCGGTTTTACCATGTTTTTCACTATTACAAAAAACACTACAGATTAGCAGCCTTATAACATAGACACTTAACCCAGTTGTATAAGTGTTCTGTCAGGCAGGCTCCTAAAAGTGGAACCGCTGGGCAGAGGGTGTGCAATTTCTAAACCGTTCTAAACAGTTTGCAGTGATTATTTCACTCGGTCTTTATCACACTCCTCTCCACTTTACAAATAAGGAACTGAGGCATGGAGAGATTGGAATCACCATATTAATCCAAGCATAGCCAGAAATCAAGGTGTTTGTTGAATTTCAGTTTTTTATCATTTTGTCATTCAGGGGCTCGATGTGGAAGAGAAGATGTATTTTTACTGCCTACTCAGATAATTTATAATTAAGAAATTGATAGTTGGGGTAGATTTCTAATTGTGAAAGGGTGATAAAAACTTTTATAAGTATTTGAATCCTAGTGTGTCTGCCATATCTCTGATTTCTTTTAAACCTTTAAATACTTTTTTGCATTTTTTGGTATAAGTTTTTGAATTTCTGTAATTTTAGATATTGAAGTGGCTTGTTACGGTTATGAAGGCATTGATGCCGTAAAAGAAGCCCTGAGAGCAGGTTTGAGTTGTTCTACAGAAACCATGCCCATCAAGGTGAGTAGTCCGTTTTCGCTCTCCCTGCTAAAATACCAACCTAAACCAAATGAGATTCTTTTTATGATCATATTTCATAACAAGTGTTCAGGAAAAATGGTTCTCAGTGATGTTGTCTAAGGGATGCTACTGCTAGTGTCACAGTGGATAAAGATTCTGATTCGTATTTAGTGCCAGAGGGCCTGCTGTGCGAAACTTAAAGAGTTCCTGAGTCTATAATGCTCCTAGGACCTTGAAAAGGGTAACATATTCTCTCGTATTCACACACACCTTTTAGGAGTTTGGTCTGAATCTTTTAAGCAATAAAATTAACCAGATGGTTGTTATTCACAATCTCAGATTTTTTCCATCAGTTTAGTTTAAAACCAAGTAAGAATTTTTGTTTTCGAGACAAATTATCCATTCTGATGATGGCTACAGTTAGTTTAGCTACCAAAGACACCTGAAAGTCATCATTCAACATATTTGGTATTGCAGTAGACTGTTTATACTGCATTATATCACTTGTATCAATTCACTTTTGCTAACAGACCACCCCCAAATTGCTGACTTACAGGATTGGAAATTAAGTTTTGGGTGATTTGTTAAGGCATCAGAAAGGAAGAGTTCTTAAACATCCTAATAGTTTTGTGTTGTATAGGTATGTTCATAATTGAATATTTGTCTTGTTCCTTAGATTAATCTAATAGCTCCTCCTCGGTATGTGATGACTACAACAACCCTGGAGAGAACAGAAGGCCTCTCTGTTCTCAATCAAGCTATGGCTGTTATTAAAGAAAAGATTGAGGAAAAGAGGGGTGTCTTCAATGTTCAAATGGAGGTAAGATCTATAGTGATTCTGCCTTTTTCTTAAAATATGTAAGAAATTTAGGGGCGCCTGCCTGGCTTAGTCGGTAGGAGCATGCAACTCTTGATCTCAGGGTTGTGAGTTCAAACCCCATGTTGGGGTTAGAGATCACGATCGATCGATCAGTAGATAGATACAGATATTTAAGTCATCTAAATGATTTGCATTCTAAAATCCTTAATCACGGCTTTTCAAAACATGAGATACATGTAGGATTATAACACTGCTAAGCCTAAAATAATCATTGACTCAGAGGGTTCTAAAAGGGCTTTTTATGAGTAAATGAGAACTGTCGTGTGATGGTTATTCATGACTGAGGTCACTGATGGTGTTAGGTTTATGCCCCCGCCAAAGGAAAAAATTAGGCAACAAAAATGAGTGATTGATTATTGTCAGAATTTAATATGGAAGGCTTAAAATATGATCTGAGGATTAGAAACAGCATTAGTGTATTTTCCTCATCTCAACAAAAATGAAACCTATTTAGAAAGAAACTAGTTTATTTTGAATCCAGAAGATGCATTTTTACAAGACATCTTTTTGGGTTTTAAAGATAAAGCCACTGAGATTATTTTCATATTTTTTTCAGTTTTGGCTTATAGAGATAACAGGAATATTCTGTTTTACTACACACATATTTCTTTTTCCTAGATTGTGTTACTCTCATCCATTTCTCCCAATATTTATCTAATGGAATTTATTAATGATGTAGCACTCAAAAATGAACAGATAGAGCAGAGTTGTTAGGACAGGTGGTTCTTTAAAAAGAGTTAAAATACTAGGCAGTAATAGTGTTGAAGTGGAATTTGCATACTGTTGAACTACCTCACTTTGAAATGATGCCTCTGCTTCCGCAGCCTAAAGTGGTCACAGATACAGATGAGACCGAACTTGCAAGGCAGCTTGAGAGGCTTGAAAGAGAGAATGCAGAAGTGGATGGAGATGATGATGCAGAAGAAATGGAAGCCAAAGCCGAAGATTAACTTTGTGGGAAACAGTCCAGTTTAAGGAACACAAAGCAGCCCTTCCTGGCTGTAAACCCTAGACTTGAAAGTTTTCCAGTATTGAAAACTTCAAAGCTGAATATTTTTTATTTCCAAGTATTTAAATGTTCCAACAGACCAAAACGTGACATGCCCTCCTAAAAGTCAGCTGTTTTCACACAAGAGCTCCACCATTCAGCAGTTTTTAAGGGAGTGGGCCTAACTTCACTAGAGACAAATCTTTAAGAACAGTCATAAAATTGGGCTTGTGGTTTCCATTTCTGATGTCTCCAGATTGGCACCCCTTTGTAGTTCAGTGCCTCCCTGAGATTTACCAGGGGCACCCAAAGCAAATAGCCTCAACCTTTCTATATAAAATGTATCAAGCAAACATTAAATAAATTTCTGGGATATTTAACTATAGGCTTCTTCCTTCTTGTCACCAGTTAAAAGCATTATGATTACTAAGACCCTACCTAATTCTATTACTTTCATTTTAGTCTAGATGTAGAAATATAGGGGCAGGTGACCAAAAGATCTATATAGCGGATCCTTTCAAAAGGAGGGTGTAGGAAAAAAAAAAAAAAAAAAAGGAGGGTGTAGAGAAAATAATTTTAACCACAGTTAAAGTTGACTCTTAGGGGAAAAAAGCCTTAAAATGCGAATTTTAAAATTACATAGGATGTGTGCCTTTTACCAATATATGGTAAATATTGAACAGTATATGGTATGAGAACAATATATGGTGTGAGGGAGAATTGATCACACTGGTCCTTGTTGGTGTACTAAGCTGCTTTCCCTGAGTTTATAATTCAGGGTGGTAAAGTTTTTTGTTTTCTTTCGTTTTTAAAGATGCTGCTGCTTTAGTTATTTAGAGTATCGTTGCCCAACTTGATTTTTTTTTCCCCCATTAACATATTCACTAGGTGCCACCTAGAGCTTCAGCTCTTTATAACGAATAGGGATCTGATTAAACACTATTGAAATAATTTTTTGACATTTCCATCATTTTTGTGTTTAAGAGCTAATTGTTTAAAAGGTATATGAATCTAAAGGTAAATAAATAATAAAAGTAAATAGATTTCATAGATAACACATGGTTTGAAGTTACAGCTACGTTAGCCAGGGTGTAAAAAGTGTTGAGTTACTTTGGTCTTTTTCATAGATTTAATCTCTTAGGATACTTGAGGTACTAGATTTATTTTATTAATTATTCCTAAGAATAGCTATTTAAATACTTAAAAGATTAAACCTAACCCACCTTAATTGATTGAGTACTAGACTTAATTCAGTATTAAAGGGACTGGAAAATAGAAGTGTGTGGGTGAGACAGTTTATGCCATATTTGGTTTGCCCCTCTTTAAGCAGCCTCTACTAGCTTTTTAAATCCACGAGTATAACCTCATGTGACTATTGCCGCGAGGTAGCCATGATCGCTAGTACATGCCATACTGGGAATATTTAGACGAGGATTTAGGTGTACTCAAAATTGGCACATGATTTTCATTTTGGTCTTTTTGAGGAGTCAGAAAACAAGTCTATAAAGCTTGTGGCATCAAGAATGTCCTCAATATATAACAGGTGCTCCTTAAATGTTTGTTGTAGGCAGGGGAATTGAATTTAACTTCCACTTTGTTTCCTGAATTTTTTACACTTCCAGGCATAACCGTTGAGAAATACTGGTGACCTCCATGGTGAGTGATTTTTATCCCATGCAAGCCTTTTGCTCAGTTCCACAACAGTTTTGCAAAATTTATGACCCTTCCCAGAGAAAAGATTAATACCTCACTGACACCATGAAGGAGAGACCTAATTAAACTTAAAGCATACATACCTGCTGACCTAAAAATACCACTTTCAAATATGAGGACAGGCTACACACCCAGCTCCAAGTAACCTGAGGAACAGATTGACAAAGACAACTGACCAGTTTATCCAAATCTCGGATCACCATACGAAGACTTTTCATTAAAAATTGACAATTTCATCTCCCCATTCTGCCTGTGCGTTAAAGCGGTTATCAACTCATACAGCTGAAAATCAGCAATAGTTCAGGTCTCGTTTAATCGTAACTGAAAGTCAAAAGTAGCTGAGAAAAAAATGGGAACATTTTCATTTGCTGTGTTTTATAGCAAAACAAGACAACCAGTATGTACATGGGTAATACTCATTTAGTGAGAACCTACAGAGACACGCTAGGCATTGCGGTTATTACTCAGCTGCCATCCTTTCAAACACTCTTGACCTAGTACTTTTGTGTGAAGAACCATTAAATTAAAATGGTTTGGGATTTTTTAAAAATCCAAGTACTAGTACTTTGGCAAGAGTTGCCTCAAGGTGATGGCCATCTACTTTTTCAACACACACAGATTCTGATAGCCCTATACAGAACAGGGTGCCGTTGTGCCAATTTGGGAGTCAAGCCATCACACCAAATGCAGTTTAATTTAGGTAAACACCTGTTGATATTCAAAGAGCAATAAAGAAATAATTCCAGGGACATTAGACCTTGGTGAAATGCCAAATGGAAAATGGTGCTTTAAAAGGCAGTCTCTTACAATGTAAGGAATAAAATAAAACCTCATTAGCTTGGAATTCCTGATCGTGCAGGTTAGGTATTCTAGACAAGATTAAGAGGAGACAGTTCACACTATTTAAAAGGAAAATTTTTTTCCTTAAGCACTTTGGAAGTATCTACTCCCCATAAATGTAAGTTACATATCTATTCATTAAAGGAAGTCAAAGCACTTGTACTTGGCAAGAATGCTGGCAGTAGCTTGTGCCAGATTACTGTATAAACTTGAAAGTAATAAAAATGTTTTTAAAGATATTGTATGATACAGACTTTTCACTACTTCAGATTAACCTCCCAACTGGTGAAGCTTCTTGGTACCTATATGTCTCAGTTAATGTTCACTTTAAAACCAAAATCTCATTCCCTAATTATTTTACCGTTTACATCTTTCTCTGTCCTTTAGCTGCTCCTGCTGTGCGTCTTTCTGAATTGCCATTTTTCATAGAAATGCTGTAGTTTTACTCTTTGTTGTATTTGTGACTAATCTCCAACTGAGTCCATGATTTCTGTAGTGTATACTTATGCAGGCTTATTTTTCAAAGCAAAACAATGTTCACAATTTTGCCACTATCCCCATTTTAATATGAAGCAATGTCTTAGTGACAGAGATCACTTGAGATGTTTTCATAATCTTCCATAATAATTTGACTAGCCTCAAGCATGAAAAACCTTTGAAAACTATAAAAACTTCACACAGGAATTCTAATAGCTAGAAATGTGTCAGTTTTTATTAATTCCAGAGAAGGAGTTAGTTTTTGACAGCATTTCAGAGAAAGCCAACATGAGACTAGTGTTTTATTTAGTATTACAATATGGCTAGTTAGTGTTACAACAGGGAAACCTACTTTGGTGCTGGAGGAATGGCTAGCTGTGAGGATGGGTGAAAGTCAAGATGCTGATGCCTAACGGCGGTCCTAGCATTTCCAGGCTGTTAACAGGAAGGTGGGGAAGGAAATAGCACCACTGCCGATTGTGAGCGAAGGAACTCCAGTCTCACTGCAAAGCCGTACAAAATATCCAAAGAAGCTAAAAGTCTTAACACACTCTCATTCTGCAGGAAATCCTGTCTGTACCATCTGGTAGGAGGGAGGAATCCTGCCTTGTTCCTTTGGGAACACATTTCCTTGTCACGTTAGCTTTTTGATAGCTTCAATCCACTCCGTTCGCTCAGCCTTGCTGCTGGCCTGGATATAATAGTGTGTGTCATCCTTGGTAATCACTTTGAAGAGATTCCCCTGGACATTCCCTTTAACCCCTAGACAGAAGAAAAATTTGTGAGTATCTGTGTCTGCTTTCAGCTAGAAGTCAAACTGAGCCACAAACAAAAATACACACGAAGTATTTCTTAAATACCGATGTATGTGGTTAGGGAATCCCACCAGATGCCCACTTTCCTCTTTTCCTCCTTTCCACTCCCCATCCCTCCGTTGTGCCCTCTTGGCCTGCTGCCTACACTAACCACAGATCTACAGTTCCATTCACGTCCAAGAATCCAGAATGTTTATGTTAAAAGTAGGCACAGATTTGGGACTTGACTTTAACTTGTTTAGCTTCTTTGAACCTCAGTTTCCACATCCATAAAATGGGAATAATACTGTCTTAGCTGGCTATTGTGAAATTAGTGTGCTAATAGATACTAACGTGTGTTGCTAAGCCTTAAACACTGTGTAGGCTGCTATTCTTAGGTGGAAGCTTATCTGCCAGTAAGCACAGAAACTGAGGGGAAAGGATACCAGAGACAAGTATTATTTCGTTGCGTTGTTAAAACACTGAGAAGACCCCACACGCCCTTTTTCCTCATTCTGAAATTGGCTCTAAAACTCGGGCTATTCATCGTCTCACTGAGACCATCTCACTGAGCCCCCGTCGCTCAGTCCATCGGCAGAGTGCCACTGAGAGAGCGACCGGCGGGGAGCACCCCGAGGCCTGCAGGCCGGCCCGGAGCTGCACCTTACCAGTGGGAACGCCGTTATCCTCCAGAGCAGACACGAGTGAGCCACGAAGAGAAAACCCACCCACTGGCCGGTTCTCCTCCTGCAGCAGAAAGAATTCCTGATGAGGCATAGTGTTAATGCACAAAAGGGAGAAAGGAGTTGCCCTGTTGCCTGAAACCACCCTGAGGCCAGCTGACGAAGTCGGTGAGAGTCATCTGTAATAGATGAGGCCGAATTTGGACATCACGTGGCCACGTTACATGCACCATAAGGAAGTCTGCGCTTCGTTTCACTGCCAACAGCCTGCAGGGCCACACTCCTCCCTGGCCCCACGGCCCTCCCTGTCGTCTGCCAGGGTCCCAGAGGGCTCCTTCTCACTCCTTAGGGCGGGGATTCTTGACAAGCTTGGTGAGGGAGGAACTGCCCACTCTTCAATATTTCAAAAACTGAATGAAAATCATACATCTACCAAGACAAGGCTGGACAGGCCAGCTCAAAGACCATTTATCTTTGGTTTTGACTGGAATTCGATCAACTCATCATGCAATAATACTTATTTTCTGAAACTCAGAGTAGCAATTCTTTGATCAGTTAGAATCAAATCATAATCATAGAATCAAATCATTACTAATCACAATTAGTAAATTATGGCTTAAACAGTACATGATAAAAGAAACTTTCCACAACATCAGTGGGGACAACGGGTTGAGGGGCAGAATTCATGGGATCTCCGCACAGAAAGGGGTGAAGAGGCCTGGGGAGCACCAGTTAGGAGTCTCCTTTAGCCCACCCCACCTTCCCCAGCCCCACAAAGAGCTTTGGAGAAACTAAAAGATGCTTTCCTCTCAGAATAATGATAACCCTCCGCACAGGCAACAGCGTGCTGAGAGAAAGAAATGATCAGACCGCTGAGTGTGGCTTGGATTGTGGGAGGAAAGGCATAGAGCACAGCGGAAGTGAGGGCAGGGATGCTGGGAGGAAGGAAGCAAGTGCCAGCTGCCCGCTGGACTTGGGAGCCAAGTGTCTGAAGCCTCACACCCGGGTGCCAAGTGGACGTGCGGCACTCACTTTGGAAGGGTCATAGTAATGCAGGAAAGCCGGATCCTTCCTCAGAACAAAGCGCCGCACCTTCCAGTTTTTCCTCTTGTGCCCCTAAGGCAAAGAAAGGGTTCAAGGCTCATCTGTGACAGCTCTGTCCCTTCCTCCCACTTCCGTGCATCAAAGCTTGCTACAGTGGACTACTTTCTGGAAGGAGTCTGCTGGAGACCCAAGGATTGCAGTGACGCCGACCTCCCTGCTCAGAGACACTTGAGCAAAAACACTTGTCACAGTTAGTTGAGTTGACAGAACCAAAGAGGGTCAACACAGAAGGGAAAGGGGAGCATCACCCAGACCCTGGTCAGGGTGTAAGGAGGACAGGGAGGCAGCAGGTGTCCACTGGATCAAGAGCTCACAGGCAAACTGGAACCCGAGGGCACCAGCTTTTAAGTATCAAAAGCAGCCCTGCAGCTGCATATGGATATATGCGCACACGTCGGCAGTAAAACCACTTCAACGTTCTGCCTCAGAAAAAGGAGGGAATGACCGCGTCTATGTTAAAATCTGTGCGGGGCGCCTGGGTGGCTCAGTTGTTAAGCATCTGCCTTCGGCTCAGGTCATGACCCCAGGGTCCTGGGATCGAGCCCCGCATCGGGCTCCTGCTCGGCGGGAAGCCTGCTGCTCCCTCTCCCACTCCCCCTGCTTGTGTTCCCTCTCTCGCTGTGTCTCTCTCTGTCAAATAAATAAATAAAATCTTTAAAAAAAAAAAAATCTAAATGTGTGAGACATTGATGTGTATGACTGTCTTTGGCTTCACCCCCAAGATCACAACGCTTCCTTGGCCCTCCAGCCTGGAGCCTCCGGAGTCCCTCCCACACGGTCCTCGCGGTCTGCCAGGCACCGGCTACGCCCGCTCACTAGACTCCCGGGCCTGGGAGGCGGGGCCCCGGGGGGAGAGTCAGCAGCAGTGACCACAGGCAGTTTTTAAACACTGACATGACACCACAGAACGTCACCTTCAACCTACTGAAGTGAGTGGACAAAAGACTTATATTTTGTTCAGCAAGTGTACGAGGGAGGCGTGCAGCGTGCACAGAAGGCCGAGAGCCCAGGAAGCATCAGGGAGCCGAAGGCCGACACGAGCAGAACGCCAGCCGGCAAGCCACGCTCTCGGGGACGGGTGCGTGCGGCGGCTAGTGCCGCGGACACGGTTTCTCGGGACTGGGATGGTGACTCGTGTGCGCGTCTCCCCTGAGCCCTGGGACTGTGTGTGTGTGTGAGAGAGAGAGAGAGGGCATGTCCGTGCCTCTTGATCTGCTCTCTGCGGCTGCCGCTTTAGCAGGTTCTGCTGGTATCGAGCGCCCGCCTCTGGCACTCTGGGCCCTTCCCCCCCTCTGGGGGCCTCTGTCCATCTCCCCCGCTCCGAGGCAGGCGTACCTGCTTGGCCAGATAGCCTTGTTTCACCACTGTGCCACTTAACTCCACAGTGCTGAGACTAATGTCTTCCTTGGAGCTTATCTTCTTCTTGTGGCTCTCAGCCTAGCGGGAAGGAAAGAACGAGGATTCGGTTACCAAAAAAGTCCCCGTTCCAGGCTCTGGGGGCTACCACAGGGGAAAGGAAAATCCTCGATACAGAAACCTCACTCCACCTGGGGGGAAAGAGGGTCCCCCAACCCTAGGCCTCTCGCCCATGACTGTGCACCCCCAGCCCTCACTCTGTTACCTCCTCCTTCCTCTGCCCCAGTGGCAAGAGGAACTCCCTCCCTAACTTACAAAAGTGTACAGGGCCGTGGAGTCATCCAGGAACTGCTCGGCCAGGTCTCCAGAGCGAATGGCTCCCATGCTTCGGACACCTACCGGCCTCAGGAAGTTCTCCTCCATGAGCATGGAGGCCAGGGTCACGGCCTCCAGACGGTTGGCAGAAAAGCTGTTGGAGATGAGCCAGTCCACCAGGGAGGAGCCTGCATTGGGGCAAGGGCAGCACCAGTCAGACGACAAGCTACAGACTAGCCTCCCTGGGGGTATTTGGCTGTGACCTCATTGACCTTAACCTTCTGGGCAGCCTTGGGCTCTACCCAAGAGCAGACCCAGGGCCACACCCACACGTGGCCATCTCAGACCAGCCCGATGGCCGTAGGCCGCTCTACCCTCAACACAGGAGGGCAAGCATGGCCGAGTCACGGGTCACTGTGGTCCAGTTTCCACCGCCTGCCCCAGCCCCCAAGAGGGGAGGCTCACCTATGAAGGTCTTTTTGTAGGTGCTTCCCTGCTCCATGTTGGGGCTTGGCCGGATTCCACTGCTGCTGTCGTGCATCTTGTCCACGATGCGACTACAGGAAGGCAAAGGAGAGGGGACCCTCATCGCAGCAACACCATGAGGGAGGGGTCAAGGGTATAAAGCAAGGGCAACCGGTGTGATACGCGTCACAAAGGTGGGGGGGTATTCCATGATGCATTGGAACTGGAGAGGTAGGATTTTCAGATGTTTCATTTCTTCTGCTTGTCTAAAGGCTCTATATGAGACAGGTATTACTTTTGTAGCAAAATTAAACAGCTGTGACTTTTAATTTTAGAGCAAAAGAACATACAATAATGATTCTCTATGATCTACATAAAATGTGACCTCCAGCTACTTCTCAGAGTCACCTGTCACTTGAGCCCACTCCTTCCCACCTGCTACTGCCCCCGCCCCGCTCCTGCCCCTCCCCCGCTGTTCCTGTTCCCCCCCCCCGCCGCGCTGCTCCTGCCCCCCCCCCCCCCGCTGCTCCTGCCCTGCCTCCTGCCCCGTGCTGCTCTGCCCCAGTGCTGCTCCTGCCCCCCCCGCGCTGCTCCTGCCCCCCACGCTGCTCCTGCCCCCCCCGCGCTGCTCCTGCCCCCCCACGCTGCTCCTGCCCCGCCTCCTGCCCCCCGCTGCTCCTGCCCCCCCCAGCTGCTCCTCCCCCCCGCGCTGCTCCTGCCCCCCCCCGCTGCTCCTGCCCCGTGCTGCTCTGCCCCATGCTGCTCCTGCCCCCGCGCTGCTCCTGCCCCCCCCCGCCCCCGAGCTGCTCCTCACCCCCGTGCTGCTCCTGCCCCCCCACGCTGCTCCTGCCCCCGCGCTGTTCCTGCCCCCCCCCCGCGCTGCTACTTCCCCCCCACGCTGCTCCTGCCCCCCCCCCCGCTGCTCCTGCCCCCGAGCTGCTCCTGCCCCCCCTCCCCGCCGCGCTGCTCCTGCCCACCCCCCACTGCTCCTGCCCCCGCGCTGCTCCCCCATCCCCCGCGGCTCACCATGGTCTAACAGCACCCTTGCTGCACAATCAAGATTTCAGCGCGGCATGGAGCTCTCTGCAAGCCCAGAAAAGGACTGGCCATGTCTTTGATGGGCGCAGCAGTTCTGCTACCTGGGAGTTTCAGGGGCCTTGTCTGCAGAGGTAACCCTCTCCAGGATGGAATTCCTTTCATACTTCCCTACTTCAGAGGGCTGCCTCCACCAATGACCCGCTTTCTGTTCTGTGAAGATGATTCCTGCCACCCATGGAGGATCTTTTCTCATTTCCTACCTTCGTCCTTGAGTTGGAAAGCCCCCGAGATGAGATCTGAGGTATTCCCGGTTGCATCTCCTGAGCACCTTGTGCAGCGAAGCGCATGCAGTCGGCGCTCTCTAACTGCTGCCTGAAGGAATGGCTGGACGAGGAACCTCACAGAGCAAGAATACAGCTGCTACCTGAACACATTGCTCTTGCCAGCAGGCTGCAAAAAAGCCCGGGGACGTGGCGAGTGGAGATCCCTGGGGGGCTGTGACGGAGCCCTGGGCACCCTGGCTGAAACTGAGGGAGGGTCTCAAGACACTGAGGGGGGCAAAAGCAGCAGAGGTCCCAAGAGGTCAGAGAGGAGCGGGGCAGGTGGGTAGGGCCTAAAGGCCCTGAAGCACCGTGCTGTACTGGACAGGCCTGTGCGGCGACCTCGAGGCCCCCTCCCCATGTCGCACAGACGTGCAGGGCGGGGGGCGGGGGGGCTAGGCACTCACTGCAGGCTGATGTGAGGGGGCAGCTTGAAGGAGTTTTTCAGGATGTGGAGCTGCTGGACCTTCCCCGGCTGCCCGGCATGAATAGCCCCTGTTATCTCAAAGGCCCAGGCGTCCCTCTCTTCTCGGGAACAGGCCTCCAGGAAGTACTCGGTGGATGTTTGAGTCTTCAGCTTAATGAGGAGCTGCAGGAAGAGAGAGCCGGTCAGACCAGCACTCAGAGGCCTAGCGGGCAAGAGAATGGTGGTGGGGCAGCAAAGATGACAGGGCCACAGCAACCCGGGACACACAGGTCCAGCAGCTGCCGAATGCCCAGCCCCTCAGCCACATCCCAGTGGGTGGTCTTCAAAGATCCCCTTGCACACCTCAAGCCACAGGGAGCTCTTGGCCTCCTAAGGTAAGCTTTCCCTCCTGCACAGACTATATAGCGTAGGGACTGCTTCCTGGGCACTTTGCGTCCCTGCTTCTGATTCTGCCTTCGAGAACCACACAGACTAACCTTACCTCCCACGACAGCCCCTGGGCTGAAGTGGGAAATGCACTGGCTTTCAAGTCAGACCGATCTGAATGCAAATCCCAGCTCTGCCACTTACCTGTGGACGCTTGGGCACATTAAGGGACCCCACCGGGCCTTTCTTCATCTGTCAGATGGGGATATGAACCCCTACCTCGGAGGCACTGTTCCTTACGCTCCCTTCCGTGCTCGTCTTTAGTCTAAGCATCCCCAGTCTTTCACACACTTCTCATAGGGTATGGTTTAAACTCTTAACCAGCTCATGCTCTGCTACACGTTCTGCAGTTGGTCAACATTCTCAGAAGCTCTGACCCATAGAACGGAACCAGCTGCTCCGGGAAAGCTCTGAGGGATGCGGGGTGCACGGGGCCTGCAGCCCAAGCTCACACTGGCGGCCTGGTAGACTAGCTCCGTGCAGTCAGCCGAGTCATTCTGAGGTAGGCCGCATCTCCTCCATTCCCTAAATGTGCATTGAGGAGTTTTTTTTTACCATTGTGGGATTTGGATGCTGACCCTATTAAATGTCATCTGAGTGGACTGGGCCTACCACTTCTGTTGTAAAACAGAGGCATTCTTTTTTTTTTTTTAAGATTTTATTTATTTATTTGACAGAGAGAGAGCGCACACACAAGCAGGGAGAGCGGCAGGCAGAGGGAGAAGCAAACTTCCCGCTGAGCAGGGAGCCCGATGCAGGGCTCCATCCCAGGACCCCGGGATCATGACCTGAGCTGAAGGCAGACACTTAACCAACTGAGCCACTGGGGCAGCCCAGAGGCATTCTTTCATTCCCATTCTGGTTTCCAATGTATTAGCTCCCAACTTGCTTCGCTTACAAACTTAACATCCCTCCTCTCAACTAACAGCAAAAGCGGTGCTAAGACAAGGCTGGCTCACAGTCCCAAAGAATACCATGAATCTGTTCCTCTGAGTTAACACTGACTCGCTCATCAGCATTGTGGGAGAACAAATTCAACCAGCTCCCCATACCTGCACTATCAGTGGGCAGTCAACATTTTAATGAAAGAATTTCAGGAGAGACTATAAAATTCCATGTGAAATCCAGGCATACTCTTCTATAGCTTCCCTAATTTAAAATATATATATATATACACACACACACATATACACATATATATGCTTTATAACTTGTTCTTAGTGAACCTATGGGCTCCTCTTGACCTCTTCCAGCTCAAGGACTCATGAACTAGGCAGATGACAATCTGGGAATTAACATGAAGCTCACAACTCCAGTTAGCAAATTTAACTTGTGTCCTTTTTTGGAAGTTTTTCCATATCTAGCCAATTCAACCAGCACTTTCGCTTTCTACTGTTCCTTAAAGAGTATTAAGGGGCATTGGGTCAACAAGTTAACCTGCAAGTTCTGGGGTGTAATTTATGGAGAACTAGAGCCTTAAATTCACTTAGAAAATTAGGGTGTTTTCTCTTAAAATCATCTCACTTATCTGTAAATTTGTTTTCTTTCTTAAACATTAATTCAGTGGCTCAGTCGTTGAGCATCTGCCTTCGGCTCGGGTCGTGATCCTGGGGTCCTGGGATCGAGCCCCGCATCGGGCTCCCTGCTTGGCAGGGAGCCTGCTTCTCCCTCTCCCACTCCTCCTGCTTGTTCCCTCTCTCTCTGTCTCTGTCGGATAGATAAATAAAATCTTAAAAAGAAAAAAAACAAACAAACATTAATTCAGCAAACATTTGTTAATCGTCTGCTATGTGTCCAGACACCGTGTTTGGTCTTCCGATGCAATAAGGAGGAAGGTGCAGCCCCAGTCTGCCCAGGCTGGGCATTCTCTAGCAGCCCTACCTCCACCCAGCAGAACACTACTTGTCCTTCTTCATCATCAGCCCGTGCAGGTTGGCAGTGGGTAACTGTAGAAGGGCATTTCCTTTTTGCAGCCTCCTAGGCTGGAATGACCCTCACCACCTCCCTCTCCTTTGCCCTCAACATCCAGTCAACCATGTCTTATGGACATTTCATTCATAATGTTTTCTTGTGTTCCCCCTACTTTTTGCCTTATTTCATGCCTCATTATTTTAATAGCTCTCTTTTTTTTCTTGAGAAAGATTCAAAACTACAAAAGAGTATAGTGGTTAACATAACAAATACCAGGAAACCCACCACCCAGAAAGGATGGTCATGAATATTTTCTTATACTTGGAAGGCTTGTCAATCAGTCTAAAAGAGTCAAAGAAGAAAAACATGGTAGGGACGCCTGGGTGGCTCAGTTGTTTAAGTGGCTGCCTTTGGCTCAGGTCATGATCCCAGGGTCCTGGGATTGAGTCCCACATCAGGCTCCCTGCTCAGCTTCTCCCTCTGCCTCTGCTCCCTCCTGCTCGTGCTCTCTCTCCGACAAATAAATAAAATAAAACCTTAAAAAAAAAACAAACATGGTAATAAAGAAGAAAATGGTGGGGCGCCTGGCTGGCTCAGTTGGTGGAGCATGTAACTCTTGATCTCAGGGTTGTGATTTCGAGCCCCACATAGAGAATACTTAATAAAAAAGAAAAAGAGAAAGAAGAAAATGTAAGATCCCTTCTTTATGGATCTAGTAACTTATTAGGAACAGAACGCAGTTCTTCACTTTAGTCCTCCTAAGAGCATTTTTACCGGTCCACTCTCTCACTCAGAACCTTCGATGGCTCCCCATTTCCTCCATGTGGCCCCAGCCAATCTCCCACTGCTCCCTGGGTGAACATTCCCCTCTGGCCACACGGGCCATTGTTATCTCCAAATCGATCTCTCCCCTCATTTTTACACTTTTCCACCTGCCCATAACGTCTGCCTTTCTCCTCTTTCAGATCTTTGCCAAATCTCTATTCCTCCCAATGCTGTACCTGACTCAGCCTCTAATTACATCTTCCTTCTCTTCGGGAATACAGTGTTCTCTACAGCTAATCATGTTTGTGCCAACATTTGGAATTCTGAATGTTTTTCATTTAACCACTTGCTTTCATAATAAGATTAATAATTCAAGGAGAAACAGTCTAACCATTTTCTTCCTTGACTCCTCCAAGCCTAGCAAATTTCTTGGCACATAATGGGCCCTCAAAAACGATTCATTCAGATACCTTTTTGACGGTGGGGTTGAAACTGCACCTGACTTTTGGAACATGTACCCCCTCAGGGGATAAAAGCCACTATATTAAATTCCAAGGTAGCAATAATTGCGTCCATTTATGTAGCGCGCCTCCTAGTCAACAAAGTGCTTTGACAGACCATCACCTTCTGTCATGATCCTCACCACAGCTATCTCTCATGATCCCCAACATAATCACAGGAGATAGCGAGGTGTCATTATTCTACCCCATTTCGTAGATGAGGAACTAAGGCTCAGAGAGGTTCAACTACTTGCCCAAGGTCACACACCTGGTACACAGTGCATCAGGACTTGAATTTAGGTTTTTCAATGATAACTCAGCTCTTCACCCACATTACTCTCACCAAAGAGGCCAGAGCTGGGAGGGTCTGAGGCAGGGGGAGCCGGGAAGTAGGGGCCTTCACTTACCGGTCGGTTTTCATACTCCAGGCAGGGGCAGGTGATAGTGCAGCCATCCAGAAGGATCCGACCCTTGGGAGGGGTCACCTTCCGACCCCCCTCAAGCTTGTAGTACAGCAACGTGTTTTGCCGAAGGATGAACCATCGTGCCTTCCAGTTGTGGACAATGTGACCCTGAGGATGGACAGGAGAGCCCAGCAGTGAGGTGGCTGAGGGGACCAAAGAGGGGGACAGCATTATCTGTTTTTAAAAAAACCTCATTTTATTTTTTTAATTTTAAAATAATTTCAATTCAGAGGCATCTGGGTGGCTCAGTCAGTTAAGCGTCTTCCTTCGGCTCAGGTCATGATCTCAGGGTCCTGGGATTGAGACCTGCATCACGCTCCCTACTCAGTGGAGAGTCTGCTTCTCCCTCTCCCTCTGCCTCCTCCCCACCCTGCTCATGCTCTGTCTCTATTTCTCTCTCTCTCTCAAATAAATAAATAAAATCTTTAAAAAAATAAAATAATTTCAATTCAGAAAAAAGCTGAAGAATAGTATTAAAGAACTTTTTTACAGAATCATTTAAGAGTAAACTTTTAACATGATGTTCCATCACTTCTGAATATTTTATTGTGTATCTCCTACAAAAAAGGGAGGGGAAATATTTCCAACATAACCACGATGCAACCATCAACATCAGGAAATTTCCATTAATATGTTATTTTCATCGATTCCACAACCCCCATCCAAGTTTCACCAATTGCCCCAATAATGTCCTTAATAGCCAAAGGATCCAGTTCAAAAATCATACCTTTTATTTTCATTTTCATGAAAAAAGTGTTATCTGTCTGGATCTCCTTGTCATCTCTTTTGAGTATGTAACAAAGACCTTTGGCATTGACCTTCTAGTTCCCAGTTGGCCTTTTTTGTGATTATAAACCTTGAAAGAAATTGTGAAGTCCCAGAAGAGAGAGTCCTACCACTAGGAGACAGTCATTGCTAACACTTTGTGTTTTCTTATAGTCTTTTTTTCTCTTTGTTTTTACTTTCTGGTTTTTAAAAAAACCAGGACCATGTTACCTATAGTTTTATTATCTAGTTTTTGTTTTGTTTAGCTTTGCTGAGCATCTTCTCACACCAATATGTTTCTTTAAAACATTTTTTTTTTTTAAGATTTTATTTATTTGACAGAGAGAGACACAGCAAAAGAGGGAACACAAGTAGGGGAAGCAGGCTTCCCGCGGAGCAGGGAGCCCGATGTGGGGCTCGATCCCAGGACCCTGGGATCATGACCTGAGCCGAAGGCAGATGCTTAGCCGACTGAGACACCCAGGTGCCCCTAAAGAGCCTTTTTCTAAAACAGAGCAACAGATGAGGGAATGTCTACTGAGGAATTAGAAAGGAATGGGTTTAGTACACACTCATTAAAGCCACTTTCCTGGCATATTTCCCAGAGCAGAGCCCAATAAGGACTGGATTCTACCTAAGAGAGATGCACTTTATCTGAATCAGAGACCATTTCCCCCATTCATGCCTTTCCTTACATTTCCTAAAATTTACTTATTTCAGAGTCTCCCTGAGTTCTCACACCTGTGGTATTGGAATAGCTCAGTGTGTACTGAGTGCTGTTAGGGGAACCAAAAGGTGTAGAAGGAGTTGACAGAGTGAGCACTGGGCTGTGAATTTTACATTTTGCTCTTCCCACTGTCCCGTACTTAGGATCGACATGTAACATGACGGTTAACAGAGGTCCTTGATGTGGGTAGACATGTTTAAAGAAACAAAAAAAGATTTGGCTCTGGCTACTCAGCGGCGGGGGGTCTCTACTGCTCTCCACGTGGCCCAGACTCGGGTCCTCTTTCTAGATCGCCCCTACTGAGGGGCTCCTGGAGCAGCATTAGCAGTAAATTGCTGGCTCAAAAGCTTGTGTATGGGGAGAAGGCAATCCTAGTGGATGGAATGGGGGCAGGTGTGAGGTGGAGAAGGCACGAGGGCAAAATAATCTTAAACCTTAAAACATAGGTGTTACAGGCTAAATTACGTCCGCCCTCACGCACACACATTCATATATTAAAGCCCTAACTCCCAGTATTGACTGTATGTGGAGATAGGGCTTTAAAGAGGTGATTAGGTTGAAATGAGGCCATTAAGGGGGCCCTAACCCAATCTGCCTGGGGTCCTTATAAGAAAAGGACCCTTAGACACACAGAGAGACAGCGGGGAGGCCTATGCACAGAGGAAAGACCGTGCGAGCACCCAGCACGAAGTCGCCCATCTGCGAGCGGAGGACAGAGGCCTCAGAAGAAGCCAAACCTGCTGACAGCTGGACTCGTACCCTAGATTCCAAAACCGTGAGAAAACAAATCTCTGTTGAAGCTGTCTTGTCTGTGGTATTTTTGTTCCGGCAGCTCTAGCAAACTAAAACAACAGGGAGAGGAGAAATGGGGCTTAGAGATATCACAGAGAAAACTGTCACCAACAGATGTTGAACAGGACAAGCCAATATGGAGATTCTGTACTTTCCTGGACAAAATGCTACATCTCCCAGAATCCCTGGCACGAAGGCAACAGGTGGGTGACCAGGTCGCTGCCACTCTCTGGCACGGGGAACTGATACATATCTGGCAGCAACAGGGGGAAACCGGAATTTGGGGCAAGAACAGTGTTGGAAGAACAGGTCTTCTGACACCAGTCCCCAGAGCTATCAGGGACAAACGGCAAATAACGTCAGCAGTGATGTTTCCACTAGAAATGTCTGGTGGTGCTGTTGGGTATTTTTGTCTGGCTACATCGTCCCTAGCTATATAGCATCCCAGCCAGGTTCACTGGCCCTCCCAAATATTCCTGAGTTACTTAATAATTAATATTCCTCCATGAAATCCCCTTCTGTTCAGACTCACTAGAGTGGAATGTGTTTATGAGCAACTGCGGATCCTGACAGCAAAGGAGAAAGGTCTGCAGAGAAAGGCTGATGAGAAAGGACTGACTGTGTAAGTAGAAATCCTGAAGCAGCTGGCAACCCTCATAAAAAATGTTCAAGTTCTTTGACCCAATAATTCCACTTCCGAGGATGTGTGCTGAGTAAATTGTCTAGGATATGGAAGAGGTTTTATGTATTGAGACACTTTGAATCATTGCTTATGATAAAATAATGCAAAATATTCTAACGGTGTAACAACACTGTGCCCACTGTGGCCGTAGAGGAGGGATTCCAATCCTAACAGACGGCAGGAAAGGTCACTGGTGGAACCCTCAAGGTCAAACGCAGCAGCCTGAGCCTACCAAGAATCACAGCGCCCATGGTCTTCGACATAGGCAAAGCACTTTTACTTACATTTTTTCGTATGATACCTAAAAATAATTCTAGTAGTTATTTTAGAAAATTTCTGAAGGGATACCTCAGGAAAGTTGATGGTTATCATCTCTAAGGACTAAGACTGGATACAGGGCAACAAGAATGAAAACTTATTTTTCAATTTACAGCCTTGAGTACTTTTCTAGTTTTTTTTTAAATAATAAGCATGTATTATTTTTGTAATGGAAAATGAATTGAAATTCAAATAGGCAAAAATCCTGATGAGCTGACTAGGGAAATCATTATCAATTCATTCAACAATCAATGGCTAACGACTACTTCAGCAAGCACTGTGCTAGCAGCAGGGAGACAAAGATGAACAAGATTCTGACCTAAGACAGTGGGAGAGACAGACAGTGATGCCAGCCAGTGTGGTAAGTTCTAGGACAGACGATTGGTGGGGTCCCCCAGGATCCCCACCTCCTGATACTACACCCTTGTATAGTTTCTTCCCACAATGTCCAAGGGTTGCTCTGTGTGACCAAGAGAATATGGCAGAGGGATGATTTGTCAGTTGACATTAGGTTATAAAAGACCCTGTAGCTTCAGTTTTGGGGACTCTCTCTCTCTCTGACCATGTATTCCGGGGAAAGCTAGCTGCCACATCATGACCAGCCCCTACAGAGAGGAGAGGAACCCAGGCCACCAGCCAGCAGCCATGTGAGTGAGTTTGCAGTTGGATCCTCCGGTCAGCCAAGCCTCCAGGAGACTGCCACACTGGGCAACATTTTGGCTGGAACCTCATGAGACTTGAATCTTGCAGCTAAGATGTTCCTGAATACGTGCCCCTCAGAAACCACGTGAGATAATAAGTGTTTATTGTCTTAAGATGTTAAGCTTTGGGGGGCACCTGGGTGGCTCAGTTGGTTAAGCGACTGCCTTCGGCTCAGGTCATGATCCTGGAGTCCCGGGATCGAGTCCCGCATCGGGCTCCCTGCTCAGCAGGGGGTCTGCTTCTCCCTCTGACCCTCCCCCATCTCATTCTCTCTCTGTCTCTCATTCTCTCTCTCAAATAAATGAATAAAATGTTTAAAAAAAAAAAAAGACGTTAAGCTTTGGGTTGATTATTACAGAACAACAGAGAAGTAAAACAGGTCCTGATGCAAACCCCAAGAAGCAGCTCTGCTGATGGAGGAAGCTCCAAGGAGGCTGAGTGGGCTGACAAAGGCTCCCGGAAGGGCTGATGTTAGGGCTGAGTCTGGAAGGCTGAGTGGAGTTGGCCAGGTCAGGAAGGCAGGGAAGGGAGAGCTTGAGCCACTTCCACTTGTGAGAAACTCCACGTGGTTCTATCTGGCTTTGGCTCAGAGGCCTGTGGGCAAAGGACAGGGGAAGTGACGCGGGTCCAGGGGGCTTCAGGTTCCATGCTGCAAAGTTCGATCTTTATACTGTGGCCAGAGGGGAGTCCCTGAAGACTCTTAACTAGGACAACGAAAAGCTTGGGTTCTCATGTTTAGAAGATCACCATGACCACACTGTGGCAGAAGGGCTGAATGAAGCGGGCCAGACTGCAGCAGGCACCTCAGCTGGAGGTTGCAGTAACATCCACCAAATGGGAAGGAGAGCACGATTATCCCTGGGCTACAGATAAACACGTCATGCTCAGAGGAAATAAGGAACTGGTTCAAAGTCAGCAAGTAAAGGGGGTCAGAGGCCAAAACCACAGTGGTACAGCTGAAAAATATGCCAGGCCTCCTCTAACCGGGCAGTTTCCTCCCTCTCCAGGCTCCTTGTCTGCAAGTAGCTGGCTGGGGCCAGAGGCCCGCTGGACCACAAGCGGCTTAGGGTCCCCAGAACCTCTTTAGGGGGAAGGAGGAGAGTCCATAAGGTAGGACAGCACCTCCACAGTTGGGCTTAAGAGTCATGGAATGTTACAGCTGGAGAGACCCTTTGAAAAAGTCCATAGTACTCCCTAACTTTAATGATGAGGAAACTAAGGTCCAGAAAGTTCTTGCCCAAGACCCTACAACCCCAAAGAAGCAGACATGGTACTTGTTATGGATTGAATTATGTGCCCCCAAAAGGTATGTTGAATTCTTTTTTTTTTTTTTTTTTTAAAGATTTTATTTATTTATTTGACAGAGAGATAGAGAGCACAAGTAGGCAGAGTGGCAGGCAGACGGAGAGGGAGAAGCAGGCTCTCCACCGAGCAGGGAGCCGGATACGGGGCTCAATCCCAGGACCCCAGGATCATGACCCGAGCCGAAGGCAGCCGCCCAACTGACTGAGCCACCCAGGCGCCCCGGTATGTTGAATTCTTAACCCCTGGTACCTACAAATGTGATCTCATTTGGAAATGGGGTCTTTGCAGATGTGATCAGGATAAGATGAAGTCATCCTGGATTAGGATGGCCCTAATACTAACGGTGTCCTTATATGAAGAGGAGAATTTGGACACTGAGACACACAGGGAGAAGATCATCATGTGACCATGGAGGCAGACATTGGAGTGGTGTATCCACAAGCCAGGGAATGCCGTGGATTGCCTGTGTCAGATGATGGCTATATATATATATAGGTCTCTGCCCCCCATTCCTGGCTCAGAGCTCCTGAAACCCTTGCAATTTCCTGGGTGCTAGCAGCATTTTTTGTTCTCATGAGGTGACTCTGGGTAGGCTCCTGGATGAAGGCTGGTCACCATAAAGAACACGCCACAATTAGAAGCTTGATTCTCTTGAGAGGGGAGAAGGGCTGAAAATGGAGTTAATGATCAATCACACCTCTGTGATGAAGACTCCATAAAATCCCAAAAGTATGGGGTTCAGAGACCTTCTGGGTTGGTGCATACATGGAGGTACTGAGACTGGCATGCCCGGAGAGCACACAGAAGCTCCATGCTCCTTCCCACATACCTTGCCCTACACAGCTTTTCCAACTGCCTGTTCATCTGTATCATTTATCGAAGCCTTTATTAAACTGGCAAATGTAAGTAAGTGTTTCCCTGAGTTCTGTGAGCCGCTGCTGCAAACTAATTGAAATGGTCATTGGAACATCCAAACAGTTATCCAAACAATTAGTCCATTTGTCAGAAGCACAAGTGAACCCGGGCTTGTGACTAGTGTCTGAAGTATGGGTACAGTGGGGTGGGGGGGTGGGGGGCAGTCCTGGGGGACTGATCCCTTGACCTGTGGGATGTGACGCCATCTCCAGGTAGATAGTGTCAGAACTGAGTTAAAGACATGCCGCTGGTGCCACCGAGAATTGCCTGGTGTGGGGAAAAACCTCCACACATTCGGTAAAAGTAAAGGAGACTCACAGGATAAAGAAATAACAATAGGGAGGAACAAAGTTTTTCCCTATAGGGAAAGGAAGAATCTGGGTTTTTCTTTTACAGCTTGTAAATACCAAAGCAAAAGAGGCAAGGGAGGACTCTCCCCATAGGCTTCAGAGGAAGGATGGCCCTGCCAACACCTTGATTTCAGACTTCTAGCCTGCAGAACTCCTTCTAGATTTTTTTCTTCTATGCCTATTTTTTCCTAATGCCTTGTATATTTTTACTCTTTGGGTTATCATATTATAAGCATTTAAAACATCTGCATAAGCATACTTAGTCATTTATTTGTGGAGACATATAGGTAGTTTCCAGTTTTTTCACTATAAAAATAACACTTTGAGGGCGCTGGGTGGCTCAGTCGTTAGGCGTCTGCCTTCGGCTCAGGTCATGATCCCGGGTCCTGGGATTGAGCCCTGCATGGGGCTCCCTGCTTGGCGGGAAGCCTGCTTCTCCCTCTCCCTCACTTATGTTCCCTCTCTCACTGTGTCTCTGTCAAATAAATAAATAAATAATCTTAAAAACAAAAAAAACCACTTTGTTCATAAAGCTTTAACGGTATTTCCTTGGGTTTGAGTCCGACAAAGGAAATTTTTAGGCCAAAGCGTGTTAACATTGCCATGTCATTTTCTAAGAGTGTCATCGGAGGTGTGAGCCAGCAGCAAGGCCTGAAGGGCCTCAGCGTCTTCTTAAAGGAAGAGCAATCTTGCCTGTGCTGATCCCACTTCCTTCCCCCTCACCCTCCTTTAAAGCCAGGCCAAGTGAGTGCCCTGCATTTGCCTGGAGCTTTGCTTCTTTCGTGTCTGGGCGGGAGTGAGAGCCAAATCCATCATGCCCCTGCCCGTCTCCTGCTTCACCCTCACCGGTGATGACTGTTTGTACTCTGGGCTTCCAGCTCAGGTCCTGCCCCACCCCCGGGGCTGTAAAACCTCCTAAATGTATGGAATCCTACGGCCATAGCCCTGCAACTTCTCCAGGGGACACAGAGCTGCTGTTGCCCCCCAGGAGGAAAGGGGTTAAGGGGGAGAGAAAGCTGAGATGGATCCGTAGGCGGGAACAGTGAGCAGGGTCCCCCCCCGCCCCCCCAGGGCCAGGTCCCTCACCTGGAAGGAAAGGGTGCGGCTTCCCCTGGCCTCGGGGTCAGCCTCCACACTCCCGTCTTTGGAATGAGCTTTCCCCATGTCAGCCAGGCCCGTGCTGTGGGCTTTGGGGGCTAGCCCTGTTGACTGTCCTCACTTCCCTGTACCCCGGACTCCCTAAGCCAGTCACCCAGGACTGGGCAGCCATCCTGAAGAGAACTCATGTCCTTCCTTCCCTGTGGCCTTCCCTGACTCTCATGGAGGCGGTGGCGGGAATCTTGTGAGGTAACCCCAGCGACAGCGGGAGGCCCCTACCAGATAGCCCCAGCTGTCTGGACAATCAACAATGCCCACCAACCCCCCTGCCCAGGTCACACTCTCCCTCTCACCTCAGGAGCTGCAGGAAAGTGGGAGGCTGCAGAAGCCCTCCCACAGGTTGTCTCTCTGAGACAAACCGGGAGGGACAGGCTATCGCTCTAACCACCGTGGCTTGGAATTTGGTACCTGCTCCCTGACCCTTGATCCGGCATCAGCCTCCCACTATGCCTTCCTGCTTCCAGTTTTGAGCAAACACACCCGCCCTCCTATATCAAATAATGTGCAACACAACCTGGCTACATTACCTACTCACCCGAAAGCGATTGGAGACTTCGGGGCTACTCTGGCCTCCACGGGAGGTAATGCCAGGGGGAGCCCCTTCATCCCTCTTCATCCATCTCCCTCCCAAAGCTATAATCTCAGTAGAAGAGCCAAAAGGCTCATCCCCAGATTTTATGCTCTGCTGGTATGTTAGTACAAACCCTTAGGGTCAACATCAATGTTGAAAGAACTATAAAAAACCGAACCTCCTCTTGCTGCTGCTCTTTGGTTCGTTTTCCACCTTGATCTGTGTGTTCTGTGTTTGTCTGGACTCTTGCTAGCTGAGGGAAAGGCCACGTGGGCCGTGGGCAAGGACTGAGGATGGAGGTTGGGTCCCAGTTGTTATTAGTCCTGGGGCTCGGGGCAAGCGGTCTCATCTGTCATTCAGTGATAACAACACCCACCCTGCGGTGGACAGATCAAGGCTTGGAGTCAACCTCAGTGGGTTTGCACCTGCTCCATCACCCACGAGCTCCCAGATCCTGAGCAAACTGCTTAATTCACCTCCTTGAACTTTGTTTCTCCTTTGGGGAGAGGGAGGAATGCGGTGCTCCACGTGCGGGGCGGCTGGGGGACCGCGGAACACCGTAAGTGCCTAGCAGCCTGGGCTGCCTCCTGGCCCGGGGGCTACCGTGGAGAGTGCGGGAGATGGTGCCCAGATGGGCGCTGCGAGCCCCAGAGCACACCTACGTGAGCAAATTGACGTATGGTCGTCCCCACATCTTAGTAAGTTGTTTTAACTAAGATGTCCGCCTCAGGAGCCGCCCCCCACCCCGTACCACCGGCCAAGCGGGATCTCCTCCTTGCCTGTGCCCCGGCCGCTCCGTTCACCCGAAGCCGCCCCCGCCCTCCGCCCCCGGCCCGCCGAGCCCGCTGTCGGGCGCGGGCTGGGGACCCGGCTCCGGGAGCCGCCGCCCGCCGCTGGCCGCCGGGCCAGTGTCCGGAGAGGCTCCGGCGCGCTCACCCTCTTGACGAGGAAGCCCTCCTTGAGCACGCCGTCCTCCATGTCGCCGCGCGCGCCCGCCGGGCCTGCGGGCGCTCCAGGTGCGCTCACCGCGCTCCTCCCGCGCCTCCCGCGCCCGCTGCGCGCAGGAAGCGCCTCCGAAGCGGCGCCTCCCTGGCCCGCGTCCAGAGCCCGAGGCCGCGGGGCCTCCCGGGCAGGAAGTCACGCCAGGTCGGGGTTTCTGACGCGGTTGCCCCCGCGAAGGTGCGCTAGGGTCCGCGGCTAGGCCTCCGGGTACAGAGTGTGCCGGCTCTCAGCGTCCCGCCCTGGCGGAGCCTCCGGGAGCCTTCCCGGCCCCGCGCTCTCCGACCGGGCGGGGTGCCCCATCCAGGTGCCCCCAGCACGCTCGGCGCCCGTCTTCGCCCGCCCCCAGCCTTAACCAGCTGCCTGCCTGGCCCTTGAGTAATATTTACGGAATTAAACGGAGCTGAGGATTTTCAAGAATTCGGAGTCATCCCCGAGCTCAGTGGAAATGCGGGTGGGAGACTGGATGCGGTGGAACCAGGCTAGGAACTTTATCCTGGCCTCTGGTGGGGATACAGAGCGAAGTTCCCATTCGCAAAAAAAAGGTCACAGGTTTAAAGGAGCAGGCACAGATTGCCTCCAAAATACACCCTCCCACCCTCCAGCCCCCCTAAAAAAGCTAGAGATGGAGAGATTCCATCATTAGAGGCAAAATTTAAGGGAACGCAAGGAACTCAGTAATCTAGATAAATTATATTTTAACTCAATATTTTTTAAAATAAAAAATGCCAAAAATCCGGGATGAACAAAATACCAAAATTTTAAATGAGGACAAACAATTGGAGCATGAAACAAAAGGAAACATAGTAATACTAATTCTAATCCATATTCAGCTTGTTCATTGTTTGCACTGTGTGTGAAGGGCCCCCTTAGGACTGTTCACCAGGATGGGGAAAGGCCCCAGAGACCTAGAAGGGAAGAAAAGTTTCTTTCAGGAGAAAGTACCCCAGGCTGCCTTTCAGAACCAGCCTGGGGCCAATTCCCAAACCACAAAAGGGCACTCCTGCCCTGGAAATGGCCCCGCCTCAGCCTTCTCACTGACTGACTTCACATCTCCCAGTGAGTCCAAAAGGAATGGGGCTTCCACTCCATTTCAGAATGAACATAGACTCACCTTCTGAAGCCAGGTCTGTAGCGGGTGCTAGGTTTTATTTAATGCACAGCAACTCCATTAAGTGAGTTTATTATCCTTTTTTTTGTCCCCCAGCAAAAGAAACTGAAACTCAAAAGCAGTTAAATAACTTGGCCAAGGTCACACAAGGTAGGAGTTTAATTATGATGCACTTGCTTCTCAGTTCTTGAGCTGGGAAGAGGAAAGAATCCCATGAGCTCTGAAATCTTGCTGGGCTCAAACCTAGGACATGAGAGGATAGAATAGGAAATTCCAATCCTCTTTGGCTCCAGGTATGGTCTGTTCATCTCCTGCATACATAACCTGCTTCCTGTCCTGGGGAAGCCCCTGGTCCAGCCCACCCCAAGTCTGACTCACTAGACTCAGAGCATGAGTCACTCACACTCCTTCCTCACCCAGCTGTCTAGCCCACCAGGGAACCACACTGACATAAGCCTGATATAACCATTGGGAAGAGGAGGAAGACAGAGGAAGCAGACACTGGTGAACAGCTGAGACTTGGGGAAGGGAGAAGGAAAGGGAAGGAAGCTCAGAACACAAGAGCTTATCTTGCTCTTCCAGGCAGACACCACTCCCCTCCCTCTCAAGGCTTAGGCTAATGTGGAAGGATCCTGACTCTCTCGAAGGTCAGATAATATCTAGCATGTGTGAGTTATAGAAAGCTATATGGTCAGTGTTTGGGTGGCCCAATGTGAAATTCCACCATTAGAGAGTCATTCCTTTAGCTATAAATAAGAATCCACTGTTTAAGATACAGCGGAGAAAGGTAAATCATGGAGTCTTACAATGAATACATTGACTTAATGAATGTATCAGAATCACAGAATCAGAATCTAACCATTAAATCATCCAATCTAGACACTTCATTTTATAAATGAGGACTCCCAAAGCCCAGAGAAATAAAATGACTTGTCCAAGGTCTGACAGCCAGTTAGTGGCAATGCTAGGACCAGAAAACAGGCTAACAGTGTAAGTACTTCAAGGCTAACTCTCAGCAAATGCAGGGACACTTCCCTTAGCAGTGTCTTGCATCAGAGTAGGACTGCCTTCAGGGTGTAACTACACAGGCTGGAAAGAGTTCTGTCTGCAAAGCCAGAAAAGACTTTAAACAATGTTTTTTATGTTTTTTGCTGACCATAAATAATTTTTGTGCTCATTATAGAAAATTTAGAAAATAGCAAAAAAAGATAAGACCACCCAAATCCCATTATCCAGGTAGATAAGTATTTTTACATGCACATATTTTTTATTTAAAAATTCTTGAAACTTGTCTTTTTTCATTTATAATAGCTAATAAGCACCTTAGCAGATCATTAAAAATAATTCAAAAACATAATTTTAATGGTTGAATAACATTTCATTATACCTGTATCATAATGTATTTCATCGTTTCCATTTAGGTTGAATTTCCTGTTTCTTTGAAATGATGATATGATAAATACCCTAATACACAAACATTCTGCCACATCCATTATTATTTTGGATATTTGTGGGTTTTTTAAAAAGATTTTATTTATTGGGGTGCCTGGATGGCTCAGTCGTTAAGCATCTGCCTTCGGCTCAGGTCATGATCCTGGGGTCCTGGGATCAAGCCCCGCGTCGGGCTCCCTGCTCAGTGGGAAGCCTGCTTCTCCCTCTCCCACTCCCCCTGCTTGTGTTCCCTCTCGCTGTCTCTCTCCGTCAAATAAATAAGTAAAATCTTAAAATATATATATATATATTTATTTTAGAGAGAGAGAGCTCGAGCAGAGGGAGGGGCAGAAAGAAGGAGAGAATCTTAAGCAGACTCCCCGCTGAGCCCCACGCTGGGCTGATCTCAGGATCCTGAGATCACAACCTGAGCCAAAACCAAGAGTCAGATGCTTAACCGACTGAGCTACCCAGGCACCCCTGGATAAATGTTTAAAGCATGCTTTTAGGTTAAAGGGTATAATGTTTAAAAATTCTTGATATATGGGTGCCTGCGTGGCTCAGTCAGTTAAGTGGCTGGCTCTTGGTTTTGGCTCAGGTCATGATCTCAGGGTCCTGGATTGAGGCTGGGCTCTGCGCTCAGTGGGGAGTCTGCTTGAGGATTCTTTCTCTCTCTCCTTCTCCCTCCCCCCCTTGTGAACTTTCTATCTCAAATAAATCAATAAATCTTGAAAAAAATCTTGATACACATCACCAAACTGCGTTCTTGAAATGTACCACAAGATGCCTCCACCAGCAGCGTATTAGAACGGCAGTCTCAGGTGTCTACACCAGCATTACCGGAAGTATTTTTAGAAACCTTCGCTGATTTTGTCAGAGGGAGCAGAGCCCCTTCCCAGATGCGTAGGCTCTGTGTTATCTTTATCAGGGGACAGCCCGCTGGAGGAGCTCCCCCCCTGGAACCGACTCAGAACTGGGAAGTGGCCAGAAGGAGGGCAGTGAGAGAAAAGGAGGGCATGTGGGGTCCTGGGCAGTCAGGAGAGCACCCTGAAGGCGCTTTGAAGCATGGGCAGAGACAACAAAAGGAAGGAGGGGGGGCTAGAAGTGCAAGCAGCAGAAAAAACTGGAAGAGAAATCTGCCCAATTCCTGGCTTTGCCCAAAGCCATCCATCAAGTTGCCCTCTTACAGCCAGAAACACTCATGCATCCATTATTTCATTCATTCATTCACCCAGCTAGAGACTCATATTGAGTATGTCCTGTGTACAAAGCACAAACCAGGTGCCATGAGCAATACACAGACCCTGCCTCCTGGCCTTACACATCAGTGTAAACAAATTACCCCCTTTTTTTTTTTAGATTTTATTTATTTACTTGACACAGAGAGAGAGAGAGCACAAGTAGGCAGAGAGGCAGGCAGAGGGAGAAGGAGAAGGCCCCCCACTGAGCAGAGAGCCCACATGGGGCTCGATCCCAGGACCCCGGGATCATGACCCAAGCCGAGGCAGATGCTTAGCCCACTGAGCCACCGAGGCGCCCCACCTAAGTACCCTTTTGGTGAACCATGAATATCCCCCTGGTCTGCCACAGCTGACAGGACAGGCCCACCAACACAAAATTGCTGCTCACACCCATCTGTTCACACCAATTTTTTATTTTCCCTGAGTCAGGGACTATTTTGTGGTCCTACTGTGCATAACTAGAATGTAGCCTCCACCACAGGCAACTTATCAGAGATTTCTGCATCAACTAAACTCATCTATATTCCGTTCAGTGAAATGAGCATCGATCATGCACTTGAATATCGTGGCAATGTTCAGCTCATAGAAGTTTCCAAACACTCAATTTCTGTTCTGTTCTTGTCATAGAGCAGTACCAGACAGACCACTCTTGAAAAGCACTGGTTTTGAACGTGAGTTCTAGAATCTTCAAGTCTTATTTTGGCCACTGCAGGAAATTTGGCAAGTTACTTATCCTTTCTGATCCTTATTTTCCTCATCTGTAAAATGGGGTAATAAAGTATGTACCTCACAGGGTTATCGGGCAAAATAAATGAGATCATGAAAGTAAATTGTATAGTGCAGTGCGCACACAGTAGGACTCAATAAATTACCTCAATTCCATTCGATCCCAACCTTGTGAGGTTGGGAGGAGTATTGGTAGTAAGTACCCCCATAGTTATGGATAAAATGCCAAAGCAGGGCAGTGGGTAGAAGAGTGGAGAGTTTATATTTACTGTGCTCTTACTATGAGCCAAAGATTTAGTGTATATTATCTCATCTAATCCTCAAAAATTCCCTGTGAATTAGGTATTGTACTCATTCTGTAGATGGAGATGAAGATTCAGAGGAGTTAAAGAACTTGGCCAACATCACACAGCTAGTACATGGCTCAATCCAGGGTAAAATCTAGCCCCGTCTGACTCCAAGCCTTGTTCTTTCCACTACTTCACACTGTTTCCTTTGGCCAAAGGATACTCCTCCTGAGAAGGAATCCCCTTGGCCTAAGTCAGGGGGCCTACTGTGGTAGATTGCATTCTTGTTCCCCATTATTCACTGCCCTCTCCCTGCAGTACATATGTCCCGGATCCTTTGACTCAGGATGGGCCCGGTGACTTGCTTTGACCAATGGAAGGTCCGCCGCTGCATAATAGCGGAAGATTTAAGCACCATCACCTGGTTCCACCTTTGCCCTTTCCACAAGCCCGGCATGGCCCAAATAGGGACTGCTTCTACAACTGGAGTCCAGGAATGCAGACAACTTGGGAAGAGAACTACAGCCCAAGTGAGTGAGAAGTAAGCTTTTGTTGTTGTAGACACTGAGGTTGAGGGAGGGTTGTTTGCTA